CGTAAGTTGTTACTTTTCCCAATTTATTAGGTGGTTTTTATTTGGGTGAATATTTTTAGATTTGTATGATCAGATGTGACTCATTTAATTCAGCTCGGGTATGGTATGATTTTTAAACAATGGTCTCGTTAGGTAGGTAAATTATACGGTGCAACCGTCATATCATACCATTCTTTTTTTCATTAACAAATCCAGCCTTGCTCGCACTTCCCCTGCTGACTGCCTTCTTTACTTTTCTTCTTCTTCTTTCTCATTGATTACTTTTAATTTTTTTTATTAAAAGCCTTCATGCTCTCTATTTTCTCATCTATATAGTTGCACACTCCACTCATCGTTCCACCATCGTTTTTTCAGTCTTATGTTTACTTTAGTTTTTTCATTATCAAAAGTAAACATATTTCCAAATAATTATTTTAATTTAGGAACAATGAATCAATGATATACGTATTACAATTTTATATTATTATTTTTTATTTTTCATTATCTATCAAATGCGACCAATATTGCTTATGTAATTTTAAGAAATTATCGAACTATTATATTAATGAGTATTGGATTATAAGGAAAATCGAACTAAATTTAATACAGAGAAATAATTGTGTAAATCACAATTTATTTTAAAATTGTGTATATAAAAAATTTATTGTAAAGTTACATGTTTTTACACGTGAGTTACATATTTATACACACGAGTTGCATTTTGCCTGTCTTAACGTGAGTTACATATTTTTACACGTAGAGTTACATATTTTTACACGTAAAGTTACATATTTATACACGCGAGTTACATATTTATACACACGAGTTGTATTTGACCTGTCTGAACGCGAGTTACATATTTTTACACGTAAAGTTACATATTTTTTCACGTTGAGTTACATATTTATACACACGAGTTGCATTTGGCCTGACTGGACGTGAGTTACATATTTATACATGTAAAATTACATATTTTACATAGGTTAATATAATTGTTCGATAATATGTTAAAATTAGATAGGCAATATTGATCTCATTTGAAAGATCATGAAAAATAAAAAAATTTGATATAAATTTTATAAAAACCAGATCACAAATGAAAAAGTTATTATAATTTTTAACAATAAGAGAAATAAATAAAGGAAAAAGGGGCAAATAAGCCCACGTACTAACAAAAAAAAGGTCAAATTAGCCCTTATATAGGAGGTTCTGTCCGGCCGTCGCCATTTGGGAAGCTCACTGGAAAGTCTTGTTTACACCATTAATGAGATATTTTATTAGTTCTCGGTGGAATTTTTTGATGAATTTTTTTGAGAATCTTATTCATTAAGTCTAGTTTACTCATATCAAATTTCAGCTAAAACTTCAATTGGGAAGGCATTAAAATAAATTATTGAAGATAACTGCGCTTTTAACTGCGTAGTTATCTTCAAGAATTCATTTGAATATCTTCTCGATTGAAGTTTTAGCTGAAATTTGGTATGAGTAAACTAGACTTAATGAGTAATATGCTCAAAAAATTGAATCAAAAACTTCCATCGGGAACTGCCCCAAATGTCGACGGTCGGACATAGCCTCCTATATAAGGGCTTATTTGCCCCTTTTTCCATAAATAAATAATAGAACCCACTATCATTTTAATACATGTTTGATGGAGAGCTTCCAAAATGCCTAAAACCGTATGCCGGTATACGGTGCTCACCATATACCGGTCATACGGTATAACAACTGGGTTAGGTGTGCTTAAATATATGGAAAATTGCCCTAAATAGGAGTAATATGTTTTGAAATTCCAAAATATAATTGTCATATTTTTCTTTCCGAAATAGGACTCATTACTGACATGATTGAAACATATTATCATCATTGACAGTAGATACTGTCATACATTAATGCCTAGTATTGCAATTATTTTGACAGTAACGATCCCAGGATGATAGTAGATATTGCCATGTTATACCTATTTCGGAAAAAGTTATATTAATCCTATTTCGGAATTTCAAAATTTGTTTACCTGTATTTGGAGAACATCCCTAAATATATCCTAGTATGATATTAGGAGCCTGTTTGGTAATACGAAAATCGGTTGATTCTGCTGAAATTTATGAAGTTCTGGCTAGAGTGGCCGTATTGACTAATTCTGTTGATTTAGGAAAAAATTATACTACCTTCGTCCCGAAATGAAGTTCATGTTCACTATTCTTGATCAGGCTTTGTAGCGGTTTTAACGTAGTTTCTGAATATGTAAATTTTATTTACTAAAAATAATCTGAGTGTGAACAGAGATCAAGTTGCTTTATCGTCAGTCAATCATCGTAAACCGAACGAGAACTTTTTTACGGGACGGAGGGAGTATTTAAAATATATTTTATTAATAAACTCAAGAAAAATATATATGTAAAAATAGCTAAAAATAAACTCTAGGCAATACAGTCAGAAAATTAACTTCAATCTTACTTTTTCTTATTGCTACACAATTCAGCGCGCAAAATCAAGAGTTACGTGTTTGGTGAAAAAGTTGGCTGATAAGTCTGATAAGTCAAAATATATCGTTACCAAACGGCCTCAAGATGTATTTTACTGATGTACATTTTATCTATGATATCTATCTAGTTTAATTTGGTGTGCTTTAATGTATGATCACTATGATTCGAGCTGTTGTGAAATTGAAACAAGTCCACTTGAATATCATGATATTTTACCATAATCTCTGACATATTAATATCATAACAGAAAGTATATATAAACATTAATTGATATACACTAAATAGTTTGTCAATAATTTTTCATAAAAGAGAAATATAAAAAAATATATTAGTGTGTGACTTCAAGAAGAGGAAAGATATTAGTGTGTGACTTCAAAAAGTAGTTAGAGTGGGCCCTAGGAACTTGAAACTTGAATTGGAGCTAATAAAGTAAATTAGTGATTCAAATTATTCCATTCTAATCGTGTTACTTTGAACTTGTATGATTTCATCGAAAATGTTTTTGAAAAAAATAAATATTATCTAAGTTTCACTCAACTTTGCCAAGTTGATTTTTAGTGAAAAATTGAAATAGTAAAACCGTGTGATTGAGGATTGTGTTATTGTGTAACAAAGTGAGAAATGTATTGAACCACAAATTCGTTGCTTTAATAGGAAAGTGACAAAAATCTTTTGGGCTAAATTTCTTAAAACATTCATAAGAAATTATACCTCCACACATTATCAGTGAACAAACTAATACTTCCTTCATTAGTTTTTTAATTGCAATAGTCAAATTTTCACGTATGGATACACACAAGTTTGATCAATAGTATCTTTCATTTTTTTTGAAAACATATCATTCATATCTTATTGGTAATGAAAGGAATTTAACAATATTGTTTGGTTATTAGGCCCAAGTACAATACCCTAGAGGCCCCAATCCGCAGACGGGCCTAATCGCAGCCCCAATCCACATACGACCTCCTCGCATGGTTAGCGCGGCTCGGGCCGATCTCTTCACCTAGGCTTATCTATTCGATTCATCAACTGTCCAAAGAAGAGTTCCCCCAAACAACTGGCTAAAAAGCTGGAATTGGCGGGAAATCATTTAATGCATCGGATATGAAAGATTTTATTGTTGGGGTTAGCTACGCAGGGTTGAACACATCACCACAACCACCTACTAGCTTTTAGTATAAACAACATTTATTTCATTATAAATGATTGATAAACATGTACATTTATCATTATACTTCTCTCTAGTTTTGTGGGTAATCTTCGGCTTGATCCAGAGGTTCGAAGCTGAATGTCCACATAAGTGTTGTAATCATTCTCCTCTTTCGTTCACTTGCTATTATTTCTATCGCTGCCTTGCATTAAACACCCACTATGAAAGGCCAAATGGGTTTGTTGGATCTTTGGATTGCAAGGAATTAATTTCAACAAATATGTTTTAAAAATTTAATTTATAATACATCACTAAATAAAATGTAGTCAAAGTAAATTACGTGAATAATGTAAAATATTTTTCTTTCACAACCATTATATTGTGTAATGTTCATAAGTTATACGGAGTAGTAATCAACTAATTATATACGAGAACATCTTGGCAAATTATATGGTACACCCGGTATTTTTGCAATTAGTAATAACTTTTAGGATAATAAATAAGTTGAGTGGTTTTCGTTTTTTTCGCGGCATGCGTGTAGTGCTCCATTGATCCTGCACTTCCCTTGTCCTGAACGTGAGTGGGCTGATCAATTTGGTTGATCAATACATTTTTTATTCTCCTCCTTTCTACTTTAATGGTTCTCCTTTCTTTTTAATTTTTTTATTCTCCTTTCTTTTATTGTTTCGTTCTTCTTTTCTTGCTTTTACGTTTTTCCTTCTTTAGTTCTTTCTTTTTCTTAATTTTTTTAATTTTAATCTTTATTCAATTATAAAATATTTTAGATATTAATGTTTTGTTTTTCTATATCTCATTGTGTAAGTTACATATGCTTATTTAATATTCGTTTTATGCTTATTTTGAAATGTCATATCAATACACAAATGAAATGAGTTCTATGTTAAATTCAAATGAGTATAACGTCCAAAATGAATGAGCACACAAAAATGCGTTTTTAAATTTTTTGATACTCATTTCGTAAGTTATGTATGCTCATTTGGTAGTAATGGTATACTCATTTTAAAATGGCATATCAATAATGCATATTTTAAAATTATTATACTACGTTAAATTCGCATATTGTATTTAATTGAAATCGATTATATACATAATTTCAGAAATCTTTTTTAAAAAAATAAAAATATTGCATTAGAAGATTTGAAGCAGATTTCACAATACTCATTTTTAGGCTTTTATTATTCAAAAGAATAGATATGATGCTCATCAAACTTGCATTAATGCTCATTCCAGACAAATCGTGATTTTCATCAAAATTACAAAATTGCTTCTGGAGGTACGGTGCAAACAGTACATCAGGATGTATGATATACCAACTGCTACATCTTTGATCGAGATGTATTATTATTATTTTCCGTTTTCTTTCTCCATGAACGAGTGTTAATTTCTTAATCAAGCTCAGAATTTATTCAAAAAAAAAAAAAATCAAGCTCAGAATTTTAAACTTCAACACAACTAACACAAGATTTTTTTTTTGATTATTTTCCTTTCATTATTAATAAAGGGATGGGGTAATACGTAGTATTATCTTGGTTAAATACGTATGCCACACTGCCAGTCTGCCATTCACTCAGTACAAACTTCGTAATGATCGATATTCAGTTGTTTCAGAGATCAGACATGACGATGAGCATTTCAAGAGAAGATAAAAGGTAAATGTAAAAGCTCGTTCATACAAAAGCTCGTTCATACCTATTCTCCTTCCCATACATTGTCCTGTCCCTATTCTGCAACGGCATTGATTAGCACGGCACCACCCACGTTCTTCTGCCGTGCTTAAAATATACGGAGTAATCTCTTCTGTATTTCCTCCTTCACTTTTTCCCATTTCAGAAGAGGAAGAAGCCGTTTCTGAAGCACGAAACAGAGAGCCAGAGCTTAAATCGGTGATGATGAGGAAGCTAGGTCTAACATTGTTCATAACTCTTCTAATCATTCACCCAAACGCTTTCCTTCTTCAAGTGAAGGCAACTGATCGGTTCATCAGAACCGAAGGGATTCATTTCTTGCTGAATGGCAGCCCTTTCTATGCCAATGGCTTCAACGCCTACTGGCTAATGTATATGGCTTCAGATCCTTATCAGGCGCACAAAGTATCGGAGGCCTTTAGAGAAGCGTCCAGCCATGGCCTGACCGTTGCTCGAACTTGGGCTTTCAGTGATGGAGGCTACAAGCCTCTTCAGTACGCTCCTGGCCGTTACAATGAAGACATGTTTAAGGTACTGTCTTTTGAGACCTGGATTTCATTTACACTATACCAAGAGTAAGGACTGTTTATTTGCCCCAAAATTGTTAGTTTGAACTGTTCTGTTTTTGCCTTTTTCTTTCTTGCATTTGAATTCATTCCATTCAAATTCTATTACACCCACAGAATCCCGCTTTTACCACTTCCACATCTTTGAATCTTATTATCTTAGTGAGTCCATCCATTTCAAAATTTCTTGTTTGATTTATTATTTTACTTTTAAATCTTTCGGGTTTTTGTTAAAATAAAATGTCACTCTTGAAAATAAGAATAAATTTATGGAATAATGCACAAGAATAATCTCATCTATTAGTGATCTGCTTAAAATAATCCAAAAAATCAATTATCTCAAAAATCTTCTCAAAATACTTTGATGACTTATAATTGTCCATAAATAACCTATACTCCGTAATATTTATGAATAAGTGGAGTATTTTGAGAAGATTTTTCAATGTTTGGGATTATTTCGAGATAATTGATACTTTGGATTATTTCAAGCAGATCACTAATAGTTGGGATTATTCTTATTTATTTTTTCTAAAGAAAAAATTTCACTTTTGGTCCCACGACTATTATACCACTTCCACATTTAGTCTCTTACTTTCAGATTGTCCACATTTAGTCCGTTACCATTATCCCCTCACCACCCTTCGCTCTTCCGGCCAAAATTCTGGTAAACTTAGTTCACTTCTCAGCCTCAGAATCAGTCTTTGCATTAAATTTTGTATCAGGTTGGGTTTTTCATACCAGTCTTTGCATTAAATTTGTTTTTTCATACCTAAAATCTGCATTAAATTTGCCGGAATTTTGGCCGGAAGGACGAGAGGTGGTGAGGGGATAATAGTCACGGACTAAATGTGGTCAATCTGAAAGTAAGGGACTAAATGTGGAAGTGGTACAATAGTCATGAGACCAAAAGTTCAATTTTTTCTTTCCTAAATATTTCGCATTACATTGTATTTCTTTTGGGAATAAGGTTTGAATGTTGTTGTGTTGTATTTATGATCTAATGGCTCTGAATAGGTTAACGATTCATTAGATTGAATAGAAAATGTGGTGACATTTTTTTTAAATAAAAAAATCTTATTTTCAAAAACTGTTGCAACTATTAAAGAACGGAGGAAGTATATTATATGATCATAAGTGGACCGAAGAAATCACTCCACTTATAAGTTTATTGAGTCACAATTTAAAAAAAATACGGAGGATGCTATAATCAGAGATCAAAACATAGTTAAATTGACTCTTAGTAATGAATGTTCAAGTTTGCTATTTTTTATATTGCTATTTGCTAGACTTGTCTATTTTGGTTTAGTATGCTTAAGTTTGATATGATTTGAGTTTAGTTCCGATGTAATTGATGTATTTAGGTCTGAAATGATATGATTTATCCTGATCTATTCAAATGAGTTAAGTATGTCATACCACTAAAGTGAATCGTTTTAACATCATAATGTTTTATACTGTATTTTCCTAATCGTTTTACACACTATTTCCCCGATCTTTCTTTAGTGTCTGTTTTAGGTTTCTTATTCTTTTTCTAAATTACATCCAACCATAAGAAAATAAAGTTGTTGACATTTTCTTTTCTTAGTGTTCTTTGAGATCGAAAGATAGCCTTAGTATAGTTTTCCCCGATTCCCCAGTTCCAAACTTCCAAATATAGCCTTAAAATGAAATTATATTTACAGCTGACAACTTTTTTTGGTTTGTGTATGGAAGGGTTTGGATTTTGTGATAGCTGAAGCAAGGAGGTATGGGATTAAGGTGATTCTAAGCCTGGCAAATAATTATGAGAGTTTTGGGGGAAAGAAGCAGTATGTGAGCTGGGCTAGAGATCAAGGGCAATATTTATACTCTGAAGATGATTTCTTCAGAAACAATGTTGTGAAAGGGTACTACAAGAACCATATAAATGTAAGATGATTAATCATTGTTTGCATTTATAGTTTCATGGATTAAGGCATTAAGCAATCTGTCTGTGCTATTTTACTGACTATGGTGGCGGATTTCATTTGTGTGGCTATATAGACTGTTCTGAACAGAAGAAACACTAGGACTGGAGTTGTTTACAAGAATGACCCTACAATCATGGCTTGGGAGCTTATGAATGAGCCTAGGTGCACCTCAGATCCATCTGGATCTACCATTCAGGTTCTTGTTGCGTTTTTACAATGCTTCATAATTTAACACAAATTCTTTCTTTAAATTCTTTTTAAAGCAACTGGCATCCTTAACTTTTCAATATCTAGGATTCCTAATTTGAGTAGATTGATAATAGATTTATGATCTATCAGTAGGTATTTTAATGAGTCTAATTTGCAATTTTGGACGCGATTTTCACTATGGGTCATCCGGAAACAGTCTCTCTGTGCTTTAGTACAGGGGTAAGACTGCGTACATCCGACCCCCTTACCCCACCGTAGGTGGGAGCCTTTGCGGCACTGGGGTAAATGAAAAATGAAAATGATGATGAGTAGATATTTTAATGAGAGGCTAAATTTGTGGCAGTACTTTATTTGATTATCTATGGGATGTCACCGATTGAAAACAGACTCGACAAAAATGTTAATATTTTAATTGCTGGACATAGAAGACAACCAACATAGATAGTATTTAATAGTAGTCACTTCCCAGTTGCTTGTTGATAACTGCATGGGTAATGGTCATTGCCCGTTGATGGTTAGTGATGATGTTTTCACTAGGCTTATAAGACCACTTGTAGTCAAATGTATTAGAAGTTTAAAATGTTTAAAATGGAAAAGAGAATGGAGGGAGTTAAATGGAGACAAGTTGATGGTCAAAAGGAGAAAAAGGAACTCCGTGGTAGGAGAGCAGGTGGGACCCATGTAAAAAGATTAAAAAATAGAAGTTTCGACTGCTAGAGTTTTTAGGCCCAAAAAACCAGAAATGTTAACTTTTAATCCACGATGCCTTCATAAATAATCGAACATATCTTGTGGTCATTTTATATTTACTAACGGAAAAAGTGAAAACAAAAATTAATGACATTTTTATTTTTAACACCGAAATGTGTTTTTTTAACCTTATAATTATTCAGAAGAAAATCAAAGAAAAACATTACGTATAATAATAATTTAATTAATGTTTTCCTAAACTGTCACGTAAAACAATATGATTAGTGTATTTCATGACAGTGTTGAAATGCAAAGGGAAATGGTATTTACGAAGGTTATACACTATTTATACATTGATAAAGTCCATATTTAAGTATTTAGATGGTAAAGGAATGCAGATAGCATGACATATAAATTAGATCAGATTTTAACAAATCAAACTGGACTTAAACGGATCGGATTAAACCAGACCATATCATACTTTTGACAAATAATAAAATTCACATATAAATATTAGATTTAAATAGAGTTAATAGACCAGATCATAATAGGCAAAGAGAGAGAGGTCTCATGTTTCTAGGCAAAGATTTGAGCAGAAATACTCTTCTCTCTCACCCTCCACCCTATAATGATATAATCAAAGATCAATCTACATACTCTGAATTTAGTCGGTCTTGGGGGCCTTGGTCTCTTCCTTAAACTTCCCTTTAAGGAATTTTTCCATAACTTTGGTTTTTTGCCAAAAAAGAGTTAGTTAATTAATTGATAAGTATCTTACACCGGCTATATATATATATATATATATATATATATATATATATATATATATATATATATATATATATATATATATATATATATATATATATATATATATAGGGAAAAGATCATGTGAGAAGTGTGTCTTAGGCTGAGAACTGCGAAGTTTAACTAATAAAGACAATAAGGTAACTTACATAACAGAAATCATAACTTATATATCCAACAACTCTAAATCAAAAGTATAAATTTAGTGATAAATTGAGGAAGTATGAGATTACAATGAAAAACACTAGTAGTAGTTGAAAAATATTTACAAAAAAATATTTATCAAAAAGAGATTTATAAAAGTATTAATACGTTAAACATAACTTATAAAGCCAAGTGTTTACAAAATAAACTATTAATACGTTAAACATAACTTATAAAGTCAAATGTTTAACTTTTACAACTTTTTAAATTACTTCACAATTCTCAGCCTAAGAACATTTCTCACCTAATCCGCTCCACACACACACACATATATATAGGGGTGAGATCACATACTAATCATGCTTAATTTACTAACCTACAAACTCAATAATATGCAACACTTTGATGCACTCTTTGAATTTGAATATGCAATACAAATAATGTAAATATGAAACTGCTAGTTTAAACTTTAAACTTCAATGTGCTATACAAATAATGTAAAGATGATTTGAATGGGAGGACTAGTTTGTATGTGATCTCACCCCTGCATCTTTACATTATTAGTACTGCATATTGAAGTTCAAAGTCCTGCATATTATTGAGTTTGTAGGTTAGTATTTTAAGCATGGTTTGTATTTGATCTCTTATATATATATATATATATATATATATATATATATATATTGACGATCTTTCATGTCCAACTGGCCTGACGGGAACCGCTGTCCGGCCGAGGCATTTCGGAACCTTCTCGGTGGATTTTTTTAATCAAATATTTTGAGCATGTTCTTCATCAAGTCTAGTTTACCCATATCAAATTTCAGCTAAAAATTCAACCGGGAAGGCAGTCAAATGATTTTTTGAAAAGTACTGCGCTGTTTTATATATTAACTGCCCAGTGTTCTTACATAATTTATTTGACTGACTTCCCGATTGAATATTTAGCTAAAATTTGGTATGAGCAAACTAGACTTGATGAAGAACATGCTCAAAAAATTTCATCAAAAAATTTCACCGGGAAGATCCTTAAATGCCCTTGGCCGGACAGGGATTCCCGTCAGGCCGGCTGAACAGGAAGACTACTCTCTCTGCATATATATATATATATATATATATATATGTATATATATATATGCATATATATATATATATGCATATATATATATATGCATATATATATATATATATATATGTATGTATGTATGTATATATATACAGGATCGGGTTCTAATGAGAAGACATCTTAACGTGAGAAGTGAGAAGTTACACATTTACCTATTTCTGATGCATTTTTTTGCTAATCTGATGCACTTTTTGCGATGGCAGAAAAGTTCCGATTAATTGCAGAAATGCCACCGCGTTTAGCTTCACTTTTTAAATATTTTTTGCACTTTCCCGTGCATTTTTTGCTAATCTGATGCACACATCTTAAATTGAACGCACCAGATGCATTCTCACTTCTTACGATAAACACTTTTCTCATTTGATCCTTATTCTATATATATATGTGTGTATATATATATATGTTTATATATGTATATATATATATGTATATACACACACATAATCAGGGGTGAAGTCAGGGCACTGGGTCAGACTAGGCCGGCGCAAAGAATATTTTTGGGAAAAAATTTACACGAAAATTTTTACACTAAAAATACAGACATTTTTTAAATTTAGGTTGGGCCGGGGCTAGGGTTGGCCCTCCCCTAGCTACGCCCCTCCACATGATTGATAATCATGGACTAATAAGTGATTGAACTTAGGCTGCATTAAAAGTTTTCAACAATAGCAAATTTACTTTTTCGTGTTCCTTAATTTCTTGGATTTACCCTCTCACAAAGTCTTTTACTTTTCGAAATTATTATGTCCACTGGTGCTCTATGTTATAAGTGTATAACCATATATAGATGGAAAATCTTTGTTGCTAACCATACTTGTCTGATTTTTTTTTACCAATATCTTAGAAATATTAGAATACTTAAATGCATGATCATCATCAAATTTCATAATCGTTCTGAACCGATGCACATAACGGAAAGGGTCGGAGTTTGGTTAAAAAATTGATTATATCACAAAACTAGTACTCCGTATATTAATTCATACTCCGTAATATATAAGCAAAACAAGGGTAGTGGACAAAAAAGTGATTTAAAACTATAATTATGTTCAAATCTAACACTAAATTGATATAAAAGTGTATCGTCACTAGTCACAACTTTATCAACAAATTTTATTTTAGTACTACTCCCTCCGGTTCTTATTAAAGTTCTCACTTTCCAATGGAAATGTCCCTTATTTAAATTCACACTTCCATTTTAGGAAACAAAACAGTGCAAAACAGTGCAAAACAGTGCCAAACAGTGCCAAACAGTGTCCAAACAGTGTCAAAGAGTGCCAAACAGTGCACTCCACAGTAAAGTCAAATTCATTTTTATGTGTGAAGTCAAACTGGGAACTTAAATAAGAACCCGAGGAAGTATTTTAGAAAAAATCTCCAAAAATATTGCGTCATGAAATTTTGATCTCCTAAACGTTACTTTTCAATATGATTGGATTTCATATTTTTATCACGCTTTTTTCATAGTTCGACTATGATCTAGGTTACTAGGTAGTCATAAAATGTTGTGACTAAATTTTTTAAAGATTTTCATTCATAAAAGATGTTATTATGATTTTATCAGAGTTTTACACCTTATTTATTATATGGAAAATGTGCTTTTTCATGACAGGCATGGATAATGGAAATGGCCAATTATTTGAAGTCCATAGACAGAATCCATCTGTTAGAAGCCGGCTTAGAAGGATTCTATGGGCAAACGTCATCTTCTTGGAAAAATAATAAGAATCTGAACCTCAGTCTCAACGTTGGAACTGACTTCATTGCAAACAACCGTATTGCTGCCATTGATTTTGCTACTACTCACGTCTATCCTGATCAGTGGTAATTACTACATTGCACATTTTTCTACTTTTTTAATTGAATTTTATAATTTTTTTTTTGAATTTTGTTCTCTTGCAACTGCTATATTTTCTAATATTTTGATACAATTTTTACTACCATTTAATCTTATTTCTCTACGTATTCCATCTTTTCTACTTTAACCATCATCCATAATTTTTTCAAAAAAAAAACATCATCCATAAATTTTAAGATACCTTCTAGAATCTCTTCAATAATGATTGGAAGACTGAAATGTGAATTAGAAATCCAGTATCAAGTGTCATTTTATGGAATACAATCATAATTCGTAAACTAATACTCCCTCCGTCCCGAAAAGGTTTGCCAAATTGACTTTTCTTGGTCAATGACAATCAACTTTGACCAATGATATATTTTAATACGAAATTATTTAGAATATGAAAATTATATCAAAATATTCCTTATTGAAAATATTTTCATAGAAGTATAAAATTTATAAATTATATACAAATATAATAACTAAAATCATTGCTCAAAGTTTGCCATCATTGACCAAGAAAAGTCAGTTCGGCAAACCTTTTCGGGACGGAGGTAGTATTTTATGGTATCAGCAATGAGTTTATCCTCTGTCACACTAAATGTAAACCAAATTTTCTTGATTATGTGTGTGCATAATGTGGAGGCCATCCCTTACCTGACAGGTTGACGAGCTCGAATGATGAAGACCAACTGTCATTCCTCAACAACTGGCTTGACTCTCACATTCAAGATTCTCAGCACACCCTGAAGAAGCCACTGCTGATCTCAGAATTCGGGAAATCCCGGAAAGACACGGGCTTCACCTCCGGCCAGAGAGACACTCTGTACAACACCGTGTACTACAAAATATATTTGTCTGCCAAACATGGGGGAGCCGCTGCTGGGGGCCTATTCTGGCAGCTGTTTACAGAAGGGATGGATAATTTTGGTGATGGATATGAGATAGTGTTGAGCCAAAGGACTCCGCTTGCAAATTTAATTGCCCAACAGTCGCACAAGCTTTTGCTGATCCGAAAGATATTCGCAAGGCTGAAGATAGGAAGAGCTTCTTCTAATAAGGGTAGCAAGGGAAACCAAATTAGAAACTGATTACAACCTCACATGGAGAGGAGTCTGACATATTTTTATTAGTGTTTTGACCTCTTAGAGATGGATGTTAGTTGCATTGTTCATCCTGGAGCTTTAGTGTTTTACCAAAAAACCATAATATGTTCTCATCGACATTTAGCGAAATGATCTATAAGTATTTCGTTGATGCACGCACTATTAACCATAGAAAACATTTCAATCAAGAGTGTGGATTGTTTGCCACTTGTCAAGTAGTTTTTAGATTTGTATTTAGTTATGTGATAATTTGAATAGACTGCTATAACCACATTGTTATAACCACATTCGATATCCTACACTTTTATAATAGTAGTCAACTTGATCATTGGACTTGGACTTTCTTTTGGCTTTGAAACATTTAATGGTTACATGATTTGTACATAGCAATTTATTCGTTATCCTTATTAATCATGATGTTCTAATTTAAAATGCTTGTGGAGGGGGAGTTCATATCCATATTAGTGCAATATACGTGCGATTGTGGTGCAATATAGGTGTTTCTCATCAGTGCAACATATGTGACTCGCTACTTCGTGACATACTTCATAAATTGTAATAGCTGATACAGTAATTATATGCTTCAGAGTTGAATCATAGTAATAGTTATATGCTTCAAAGTTGGGAATTGGGATAAGCATTCAGGAGAATAAATAAAAGTGAAGGGGTAAAGACGTAAAGTAAAAGAAAAGCTTCAAGCATTAGAAAAAAATACAGGTAACTATTTTGCTCTTGTTATTCTGCGATGACATTCTTCTGCTATGTATTTCCTTATTCACATTTTTCCCGTTTAAGAAGAGGGAAGTCATCTATAAAGCATAAAGCAAAGAGCAAGAGCTTAGATAAGTGGTGATGAGGAAGTTAGGTCTAACGTTGTTCATAACTCTTCTAATCATTCACCCAAACACTTTCCTTCTTCAAGTGAAAGCAAGTGATGGATTCATGAGAACCAACTGGATTCAGTTCTTGCTGAATAACAGCTCTTTCTTTGCCAATGGCTTCAATGCCTACTGGCTAATGTATATGGCCAGGGATGGACTCGGGCCGGGTGGCCCGACCCGGAACCGGCCCGGGACCGGTACTGTTCCGGCCCGGCCCGGCCCGACCCGGTGGCCCGGTCAGTGATCGGTTCGGGTAGGCCCGGCCCGTGGGTTTTCCGGTCCGGGCTCGGGTCAACCAAAACAAGGCCGGGCCCGATTCGGGCCAAAAACTATTTTGTTTTTCAATTTTTTTTTAATTTTCGGGTTGGGTAGGGTATTTTGGGTCATTTGGGGTGGTTTGGGGGGTTGGGGGTGGGAGGGGGTTAATTAGGAAGATGAAAACAAAAAAAAATAATGGGCCCGGACGGGACCCGGTGGTTACCCGGGCCGGTCCCGAGTCCACCATTTCTGACCCGCCGGCCCGCCCGGGCCCAGGCCCGACCCGGACCCGGCCCGGACCCGAATCCATCCATATATATGGCTTCAGATCCTTCTCAGGCGCACAAAGTATTGGAGGCCTTTAGAGAAGCATCCAACCATGGCCTCACTATTGCAAGAAGCGGCTACAAGCCTCTTTTGAAACCTAGATTTCATTTACGCCCCTGTCCATTACAACGAAGACATGTTTAGGGTACTGTCTTTTGAAACCTAGATTTCATTTACATTGTAGCAAGAAAAAGGACTGTTTATTTGCAGCTAAATTCCTTGGTATGAACTGTTTTGTTGTTGCCTTCTTTTTTCCCACCCATTTCAATTAATTCCATTTAAATTCAAATTCAAATTCAATTATCCCCATAAAATTCCGCTTTTCCCACTTCTACATCTTTGAATCTTACTATCTTAGCGAGTTCATCTGATTTGAGAATTTCTTATTTGATTTATTATGTTACTTCCAAATCATTCAGGTTTTGGTTAAAAAAATGTCAATCTCGTGAAAATAAGAATAAACTTATTGCATTATATTTATGATATAATGGTTTTGAATAGGTTAAAGATGCATTAGATTGAATAGAAAATGTGCTAACATTTTTTTAGAAAAAAATCTTATTGGCAAAAACTGCATTATCTTAATGATATACTACGTATCAAATATTCAAATATGTATAGTATATGATCATAAGTGGAGTGCAGAAATCACCCACTTAAAAGTCTAGTGAATCACAATTTTAAGTTTTTTTGGAGGATGCTATAATTAGAGATTGAAACATAGTTAAATTGACTCTGAATAATGTATGTTCAAGTTTGCTATTTTTTATACCGCTATTTGCTAGTCTTGTCTATTTTGGTTTAGTACGCTTAAGTTTGATATGATTTGATTCACATAAATTTGATATGATTTGATTCGTTTAGTTTCGATGTAACTTGATGTATCTAGATATGAAATGATACGATTTTTCCTGAGCTATTCAAATCCTAATTTAATTTGATATTACATAAGTTTGTAATATTTTTAACATCATAGTGTTCTATAATCTATACTGTGTTTTCCTAATCGTTTAACACACTATTTCCCCAATCTTTCTTTAGTATCTATATTGTATTGAAAAAATGGTAAGAAAATGAATTAGATATTCATATTAGATTTCTTATTCTTTTTCTAAAGTACATATTCACAATCTTATCTAGATTGTGTCGTCCTTCATATTTGTGAACCATCTGCGCATATAATTTGACCTCACCATTCAATCCCTTTTTTTGTCCGCCTCACCTAGTTTCAGAATGTTCTCTAGCCCTTTCAGGCACACAATAGCCATTCTTGGATCTGGATATATCAGGAGATCACAGAGCGGCTTGCTTCGACAAAGTTTTGACACAGTCCATGTAGCCTAATAGTCATGTCTATCTCGATCAGTTGTAATTAATATATTGCACATTTTCCTACATTTTTATTTGAAATTTATAAATCATTGATCGAATTTTGTTTTCTTGCGACTGCTCTATTTTTAATAGGAAAATTCTATGGTGCATCTTTAAATTTCGCATGTATGGTACATTTCCTCACGTAGGCAAATAAAACAATGCCACGTGGACATTAAAATTCATATATATTTTAATTATTTTCCATGTGCTACAATATTATTGGTCCGCATACGGTACAATCAAATTAACGGGTGCACCGTAGAACTCCCCTTTTTAATATCCTTACTTTTTAATATTTTCTTACAATTTTTACTACATATTTTCTACCTTTTCCATTTTTCTACTCTAACTGTTATCCATCAATTTTAAGATATCTTCAAGAAAGAATTTCAGCAATAATGATTGGAAGACTAAAGTGTGACTTAGAAATCCAGTATCAAGTGTCGTTTCACTAGGACTTTCTTAACTATATAGAATATCCAGAATACCATCGTAAACTAATACTTTACGGTGTCATGAGTGAGTGTATTGTACTTTGCAAATTTGACTTTTCTTGGTCAAACAGTTTCATTTTATTTGCTTAATTAGGATGTCTTTTTTTAATTATATTCTAATTTGGAGTTTAGAACTTTGAAGATATTTTAATGTAGTTTTTGAATATATAAATTTTATATATTAAAAATTGAATTATTTATCGATAAAGAGTATTGACTTTTTTTATTGGTTGACCAAAAAATGTTAAATTTGCAAAACAATTTGGGACGGAAGGAGTATTACACTAAATGTACCAAATTTTCTTGATTATGTGTGTGCATAATGTGAAGGCCATCCCTTAACTACAGGTTGACGAGCTCAAACAATGAAGACCAACTGTCATTCCTCAACACTTGACTTGACTCTCACATTCAAGATTCTTAGAGCACCCTGAAGAAGCCACTGCTCATCTCAGAATTCGGTAAATCCCGGAAAGACACGAGCTTCACCTCAGATTAGAGAGACACTCTGTACTACAAAATATATTTGTCTGAAAGATATTCACAAGGTTGAAGAGAGGAAGAGCTTCTTCTAATAGGGGTAGCAAGGGGAAGCAAATTAGAAGCTAATCGCAACCTCACATGGCCAAAAAAGTTTGACATATTTCTATTAGTGTTTTGGCAGCTTAGAGATGGATGTTAGTTGCATTGTTCATCCTGGAGTTTTAGCATTCTACCAAAAACCACAGTATGTTCTCATCGACATTTAGCAAAATGATCTTTAGGTGTTTCATTGATGCACTAATTTAATCACATAAAACATTTCATTAGACAACAACTACTACGTATAATTTAATAGTGTGGATTGTTCACCACTTGTCAAGTAGTTTTTGGATTCGTATTTAGTCGATTATGTGATAATTTCAATACACAATTATAACAATATTGTTCATTCTTTTGAATTGTGTTTGATATCATACACTTTCAAATAGTAATCAACTTGATCGTTGTTGGTCCCGTTTGTAATGGGAACAGTCTAGAGGGGGGGTGAATAGACTGTTCAGGAATTTAAACTTTTCTCTAAGTCAAGTCTGACTTATCAGAGATGGTCGAAATCTGGTGACAGAGATGGTCAAGTTCTGATGGCAGAACTAGACCAGGCAGCGGATAAGTTTCTGTCCGGGTAGCCTCTAGAAGAAAGCTAAGGCAAAATGCCTTTCTGATAACTCTGAAGGAAGATCTGCTGGACACAGATTCCAACCTAAAGAGTTAGTCAGTAGAATCTTAAGTGCAGAAAGTAAAAGCTGAAAGTAAATGACACCGGGGTTTTTATAGTGGTTCAAGGAACAACTCGTTCCTCTAGTCCACTGTTCCACTAAGCTTGCAAAAACGACAGTTTACAACGCCTTAGTCCCTAGAGCTTAAGAAGCACTCCTCGTCTTCTTCAAGTCTAGTTTCCACCCGGGATGCAGTCCTGCTTCCTGATGGCTGGTCTCGTTTCACTGAGTCTCTTGAAGTATCTCCACTTCACTTACTCCAGCTAATTTGAGACGTCCCTTCTTTTTCAAGAAGTGTTTGATATAGAATCAGTTTTCTCCAACGTTGCTTCTTCACAAAAGATGAGTATATGAAGCTCTCGAAGTGTTGAAGAACTGAGTAACTTTGCCTTTGCTAGTTGGATGAAGGATAGGAATGTTTATCTTCCAACTGTGGCCTTTTCTTGTTAGAAATGGAGTTTTGATCTCAAGAAAGTTGTTCACGCAAATCTATCTTGGCAAAGGTTATGGCAAAGTTATCTTCTTAGTTCTTCAGAGTGTATCTTATATACTGGGAGCGGTCTTCCCGTTGGAGTGTAGAAGACAGCTTCATTAAATGCATGTACTGTTGACTTGACCGTTTGGTCCTCCGACTTGCTATTTTGGGGGCGTAAAGATATTCGCATGGTCAATCATCAGCTTTAAATATCTCTTCGTACGTACATCATTAAATGTGCATTTAATGCGTGTACAGTGCCATGCTTCCGTT